CACTTTATAGCAAGACTTACACTTAAAAAGTACTTGAGTTTAAATTGGTGTCTCCACATAACGAGAGCAGTAATCTTTGGAGCCGGAGTTGGCTCTGTAGGAAAATTCCTGGCGCCTCTAACAATGTTTCTAAGGCTTTGAGGAGCATAAATTGAACCTGAAAAGGTGTCATGACCTGGTATATGGATCATAAAACATAGATCGGGGTGCAGTAGTAACTATTTTTTTCTACAAGAAACTTTTTTCACTCTTGCTTTTTTACTTTGTAAGCCAATATAAAGCCTTGTCTGTGGACATCTTAGGTTAGGAGTAACAGTAAACAAATATGCTAAATCTACATAACTAGGTGCAGTAATTACAGTGCATCATAATGTACCAGTTCCTTTGGTGATTAAGGTACAATAAATTAAAAGTAGATGAAGTGTTTCATTTCAAACTCTTTAGTGTGTGTGTTATTGTGTCTCCAGTTGCATTGTTCATATTTTGGGGTTGACTCTGAAAGAGGAAAAAAAAAAGGCAGGGAAAAGATGGGGTGAAGTGAAGGGTACAAAATCCTGGCAAAACGACATTGCTTTCTAAAATCTAAAGCTAAATTAAAAATACATGTGTGCATCTATATAGAGATATTTTTTTTTCTTCTACAAAAGCTTTCCTTGAGAATTGTCATCCTCTTTGAGCTAAGGCCTTTTCCAAGACTGGTTCTGTTACTTTGGCAGTAAATTTGGTTTAAAATGAACACTTTGGGTCTGCTAGTTCAGTTCTGCATAGTCCCATTGTCTACTGATGTTCTGTGAAACTGTTGTTAAAAATAAATAACAGAAAGTGTTTCTTGAGACTGAATCGTTTAGTTAAACCTGAAACAGGTTAGTTCATGGCCAGATAAAGAGTTGTCTTGGCAGGCGTGAATGCCATACCTCTTTTAATCCGTGGCTACATAAATACTTTACAGTGGCATAAATTGTTGCTGCCACAGGAAGAAAAAATGCTGCTTTCATTATTGCGTTTGTCCTTGTTTTTGCATACCCCTTGGCAGAAGAAACAGTTTTTTGGCAGGCAGGCAGTACGCTAAGTCAAGAAAATGTGGTGGCTGAAAATAATTGATGTAATTTTGTTATGTTAATTTCCAGCTGGAGTGATTCTCCAATCTGGTTCCCCATGTGCCTCCCCAAATGTGGTGAAGAAGCATTTAGAGGAATGGTAGCAGGTTTACGCTTGCTTAATATGCTTGTTGAGCTACATCCTTACGGTGAACTTCCTACTGAAGGAAGAGTGTTCTGGAGTTACGGTTGTTCATATAATTGAATCTGAGATTAATGAGTTTCTGTTTAAATTTAAAAAAAAAAAAAAAAAAAAAAAGGAAAAAAAGGCAACCACAGGGAACAGTATCATGTAAACCAAAAATGTTTCAGAGTCTTTTTAATCAGCAAAGACTGATGTTTTTATGAATATTGAAAGTAAGACAGAAGGGATGTCTTGTAATTGATGCAGTTGAGATTAATTTATTAAAAACAGAGACAGGATTTGAGCAGTAACTCTGCTTTTTGTCCACTGATCTTATCTATGGTGTCTGTCAAGCCACTTAATCTGTCTGCTTGCCTATTTCTTCTGTTGTTTTTAATTACAAAATTGCCTGACTTGAACTGTTCATCAAGGCTACAGTCCTATGCAGTGCACAGACTTCTTTTTAAGTATCTTCTTTATTTCATAGCCATGTCAATGACTGAAGAGTATCAGTGTTATGTATGCTATTTACTGTCACTTTGGTATGTTTGAAATGAGGGGCATGAACTTCATGTGAGTTATCAGTGTTCTTTTAGGGTAGATGGAAAAGTGTGGGGTTTTTTCCCCCCACCGTCATCTCAGATTCTCAAGTTGCATTTCAACCTGGTAGTTTTCCTTGTCTGTTACTATTTTTTTGAAGCTTTTTGTTTGTCGAAATGCATTCAGTGATTTTTTACACTTATGTGCTTAGTCAAACACTGAGAAGATAATTATTGTCTATGAAAAATTTTTATAAAATATGCGGTGTCTATTAACTATGCTGTTGTTGATGTCGTTTGTCATACATGCTGCTTTCTGTTACCTTGAGTTCAACTTGGACAGTACAAAAGTTGGGTTGTGTTTTTTCTTCTAATTGTTTAAGATCCAAGGGTGGAGTGTTTGATTAGTGGTATGAGCGGTGAGAGGACAAGAATTTTGTTTTGCTGACATCTCCTATCTTGCTTTTAATCCTGTTCCCATGCGAAACTAAACTCCATCTTCCTCCGCTGCACCTCAGGAATTCCAAAAAGCTCAAAAGCCATGAACAGCCCTGGTTTAATACCTGAAGACTCTGTCAGCTCAGTCATACCAATCTGGGATCCCAAGGGAACCCTTCAGCAGCTGGAATACCTGCTCTTCTGGTAGTCATGGTTTGTGGGGAAAGGCAGGTTGGGGCAAGGGGTGGGGGTGTCATAGCAGTATTTTTCCTTGAAAACTGTTTTTAGTTGGAGTCACCAATAGTTTATGAAATACTTGATAACAAAAGTGTTTGTCAAGAATTTCAAATAACGTGCTGTGTTGAATACTGGAGGGCTCCAAGGACTTTTTTAAATCAAAAAATCTAAGCATAGAGTATTTGTTGTAGAGATAGTCAGTTTTATGCTATTCATAGTAATAATTGGGAGAGGGGAAAAATGGTAAGACAAGTAATGCAAATTAAATGACAGGGATACACTTGGAATATGCACCTTTTTAAAAATTTTTGTACAGCTTTCTGTGTGGGGGAAGAGGTCAGCCTTACAGTAGCAATAGATAGTGAGTATGGGATCTTACAGAAGCAGCACTGTGCTTTGTGGAAGCCAGGGGTGTTTTGGTAAAAAAACCTGACCCTGTTTAACCCACAATTTACATAATCTTCTTATGGATAATAGAGCATTAATTGTATTCCAGTTTTGGTACATGCAACCCAAGTTTTAGGCAAAAGCTTCCTAGTGGTATAAGGTGAAAGACATTACGAGAATGGATGCTCTCTGAGTAGTTTTTCCTCTTGGAATATTCCTTACTTATGCATGCATGAAATTGAATATGGAGATTGCAAAATGAGATGTTTTTGTCCTTATTATAATAAAGCATCATTAAAATAAGGTCTTATATAAACCAGTCCAAGAGCTCTGTGGAATAGCAGGAGTTAGCTAAGCTGTTTACAGTTTTGGAGTAGTGCTTACAAAATAAGATAAAAAGAACTATATTTGTAGTGATTTAAATAAAATTAAGAAATCTGTCTGGATTTTGGAATGCCAGAAATGTTGCCAGGAAACTGTTGACGAGTGCTGTTGGCTTTTTGTGTGGAGGGAGATGATCTGTGTTGATCTGACTACAAGATCAGAGATGTATTGTGATAATTGTTTTTACGCAGTAATCCACTCTGTTATTTTTAAAAGCTTGTAGAATATTTGCGGCTACTTGCTGAATATTTGTAGCTGTAAATATGAAATACAGAATGCTGTCTGTGGCACAGATGCTGATTAAAAAGAAAGTCAAGTAATAGTAGAAAT